GAGAAATAACCGATGTAAAACAACCAATACTTTACTTCACTTTCCCCATCACCAATTCCGGTGAATAATAGGCTCACGACAGTCATTATTTCCCCCCTGGACGATCTAACAACGACTATCCATTGTCGTCTTGTCATTTCAGCGAATGGCCAAGTCGAAAAAGTGGAATTTGCCAATGGATGGGTTGCAAATTACCATGACGAGAGAGCTTTTGCAGAACACGTGTTTGATTTTCTGAATACTGATGCCGATGGTGTGTTGGAGTATGATGACGTTCCTGCTCTTGAGGCGAGAGTAGATACATCAGGTACGTTTTCATTTCAGAAACAAGAAACACCCCATCTTTCACAGATTTTCTTATATTTTCATCTTTTACAAGAACATATGCCGTCCGGTCTGTTGACACAAAGAGCCGCGGGGGCTCAGTGTGAAAGGTGCTGGCTTGCTAAGCAGAATGACACGGGTCGAACCAATACCAGTGTTGGCTGAGAAAGCCCCCCCCCCCCTCTTATCAGTAGTGCGGGCGGAGGGAATAACAAGGAGTAGCTATCTAGTCGTTTGCATGGGATGAAAAATTACCTTAGACGGCTGGAATTTGATGAAAGAGTGGGTCGTAGGTTCTTAACGTAGCAATCCGACCAAAATGTCCACCATAGCGGCATAGCACAATGCATGGCGTATTCTCGTCTTCATTAGCCCAGCGAGCGCAGAAAAGTAGACACTTCGACACACCCCCCCCCCGAAAAAAAACCCAACACAGCCCACTCCAACATGCTAACAAAACCTTAGCCCAGCGAGCGCAGAAAAGTAGGACGTTAAACCCTATTTCATTTCAGCTCTGAAGACACTTCAACAGCCCCCCCACCCCCCCACCGAAAAAACCCCCAACACAGCCCACTCCAACATGCTAACAAAACCTTAGCCCAGCGAGCGCAGAAAAGTAGGACGTTAAACCTTATTTCATTTCAGCTCTGAAGACACTTCAACACCCTCAACCCCCCCCCCCACCTAAAAAAACCCAACACAGCCCACTCCAACATGCTAACAAAACCTTAGCCCAGCGAGCGCAGAAAAGTAGGACGTTAAACCCTATTTCATTTCAGCTCTGAAGACACTTCCCCCCCCCCCCAACACCCCCCCCCCCCGAAAAAAAACCCCAACCCAATCCACTCCAACATGCTACCAAAACCGTCAATAATTCATTGATGTCCAACTAATTGTGGGTTTTTTTTCAAAATAATATTTAACAGGCGATGGTGTTGTTCAAAAGGCAGAAATGAACTCGTTTTTAGAAGCTGTAAGTATTGATTTATAATGGTGACCAGGGGTGGATCAAGGGGTGTGTGGGGAGGGGCCAGGATAATGAGACAATTACCTTTTGTGGATGTCCGAGTGGGTTTTCTCCCCCCGGCCTTGAAAATTCTTAAGAAATATCGTCAATTTGGCGTATATCTGGGGTAACCACACGTCACTTTGACAAAACGCTGGTACTCCCAAACCCCTCTAGATCCGCCCCTGGTGCCACGATACGTTATTTTAGGCTAGTGACGAACTATTATTAAATTTTCCTTTTTCACTGAGTAAACGGAAGTCGGTTATTTTTAGTGATTTGGTTTTCAGTTGTATAGAACTATAGAACTATACAGATCTGGGTTCTGCTCCTCGATTTAAATGATCGACGACCGATATGATAATTGAGATATATTGCTTCCCTATTTAAAGGAGCTAAATCGCTAACATCTGGGCCCTTATTCACGAAAACTTAAACTAAGATAAAATCGAAATTTTAAGAAATACTGCAATTCGATTGGCTGACCAGTAAAATCAATTTGCATATATCCAATGAAGTTGCAGTATTTCTTAAAACTTCGATTTTATATTAGTTTAAGTTTTCGCGAATAAGGGCCTTGGGACCTAGAAATTGACAAAAGTGGGTCGCAACGCATATAATACTGTAATATGAATGTATATAAACTGATTTACATTCAATGGTTTCCGTTTTTACTCCAATTTCAAATCAGATATGTTCGGCGAAATAAGCCAGCAGTCTCAAGCGAGTGCAAATTTCGAGCGTCTGGTTATTCCAGTCTACATACGCCGTTTGATTTGGTGCAATGTGTCTAGCCTCGTCCCTCGAGTCTCTTGATACAACTGGGGCTGAAGCGCATTATGGTACACTATTCGTGCACCAATGGTAAAATGTTTATTTTGTCTTAAATATTGGATATCAAAAGCCCATCTTTTTCCGGTAAGATCACAACATGAATGTTGATTTAATTTGACAAATAAATCGTGTTTTCAATGTTGAAGATTTTGAATGATATTGAGTTGGAGACTTAGCTACTTTAAGTGATTGAATATCAAAGTCTATTCAAATGATTGGAGATCGATCTTATATAATTGAAATATATTATTGATCCTCTATTTAAATTAACGAAAATCGATCATAATCGAGATATATTGCTTCTCTATTTAAAAGATCGAATACCGGTCCTCTATTAATGATTTGGGGATCACGTGGCTAAGTGGGTAAGTCGCTGGATCGCTAGCCTGGAGGTCGGGTGTTCGATCCTGCATTGGCCGAGAAAGTTCATCCAGATTTTCTGACGTGGTTTCTCCTTGTCAGTGATGCAGGACGGAGGGCCTGACAAGGACAGCTGTCTAGTCGTTCGGGTGGGACGAAAAACCGAGGTCCCGTGTACACATTGGCATGCACGTAAAAGATCCCTTGGCAGTTGGAATTCGATATAAGAGTAGGCTGTAGTGCCGCTCTCCGGGCAAAATTTCCCTCATAGCACACTGTATGGCGTATGCCCTTCTTCATTAGCCCAGTTCGGAGCAGAACAGTAGGACGTTAAACCCCATTCCATTTAATTTCATTTCTATTAATGATTGATATATTGATAGAAGATCGATACTATGAGATATATTGATTTTTATTTCAGATTTACAACGCTTGTTAAGAGATTACACGAAACAGTCAATATACCACATATAAACAGAATACAAGAAGATATTTTTGTTTTTTAGATTTCCATAAAGTCGTTTTCTCGTGATATTGTTCTGAGCCCTGTTTCTCGAAATCTTAACTAAAGATGAAATCCAAATTTTAGTAGATACTTCAATTTTGATTAGCTAAGCACTAAAATCAATCTAATATTATCCAATCAAATTACTAAAATTTGTATATTATATTAGTTAAAATTTCGTGAAACAGGCCCCTGTATAGTTCTGAATTGTATTTATTGCTTGTCTATAAATAAAGTGTCCTACACATTTGTTACTCTAATATCAACTAATACAATCTGATTAAAACACAGATCCTATTTCGTTTCGTTTTTTATAGTTCAAAATTTCGTTTTACTTGTCTTTACTACACTAGGATCTGGAGGAGTTGTTATATAACCCGCCTTCTGGATGATGTGAGGGATTAGCCAATGAAACGGTCTGTTACGGCGAGATTTTATCGTGAGGTACAGGGAAATGTGGATAATCCACTAGAAACATCAACGCTGATTAGTTAATCAAATGTTTGACGTCATAGGGCCAAAAATTGCTCGTATGACCTCCGACGCGACCTTCCACTACAACCGATTAGATCTTCATGTAGCAGAGGCCATCAAAAGTATAATAAAAAAACGAAACGAAATATAGATCTGTATTTTAATCAGACTGGTATTAATAAAAGATTGACAGAATACTCTTCGTCAAAATGAATAAGAAGTTGTTCTTCCATAAATTTGTGTCATATTTATTTTGGTGCCGTTGAGTGGCCGAATGGTTTAACGCGTGCACGTTAGAACATAAGGTCAGTCATGACAAGAAGTAAGGTCGCCTGTCCAACCTGTTGGGTTTTTGTGCCCGGTCAGCGGCGCTACGGCCTACTCTTATTTCGAATTTCAACTGTCCTACGTGAACGCCTAAGTGTACAATTTAAAGCGATAATTTCATATTTTTAAGTTATATTTTTAAAATGTATTAAAATAAAGCCTTAAAATAGATGGTATCTATAAACAGTCCTACCTTGTTAAAGAATAATCCTATTAATCATAGAATTCACTATTGCCAGTTGAGAAATTGGCAAAAATATCATTTTCAACTTCAAATTCAAACGTTTGAAGATAGCTATTCCATGGGGTGGAATAGCAAAACAAGGCAGGTAATTGTGTTATTATTTCCAGGGTGAATGATTTTTAAGTGTGAGAATGATACCTATGATCGTATAATAGTGAGTTGACAACCTATGATCGTATAATAGTGAGTTGACAACCTATTAAGCAAAAGACATAGAACTAATTATGTTTTGACTTTCTTAGAAAATATGAAATTCTTCTCGCTTTAAGCGATGTGGCCTAAAGACCTGGAAATTTAAAATATATATTATGTATCTGATACAGAAAAAAAACGGGTATTCGAATTTCTTATCATAGAGGATCATGGACGTCTATATATAGCTGACATGTGTGGCAAGTAAAAGGGTTTGTTCTGGTGGCCAGGATATGTTTGATTTCTACTCAACACAAACTTGGTCATTTTAGGACCGACAAAAGGCATAACCTTATTTCAATAATTTGCTAGCGCGCCAGGTCTTTCACTGAATGCGAAACCGGGCCCAAAGTACCTGGAAAAATTCTATGAGGCTAGGCAAGCAAGTATACATGTTGTCAAGTACAAGTTTGGAATCGAAGCATCGACACTCGACTCTAGTTTTTAGTTGAATGAGGAAACCCATACTCCTCGCAGTGTTTCGTTTGATTAGAGCTAATCCCACTACTCACTGCTGTAAACAAAGCAAATTCTTGTTCTAAATTATGACTGGTCAATAGTCCGATTAACAACCAATAGCTTACTGCGTAACAATACCAAACAGAGCTCCAAATTGGACCAAATATGTTTACATAACGTTACGTCATGACTCACGATTTTATTATGCCCAATTAACCAGTGCATAGCAGAATATTGCAGAAAAACTAATTGTGTGACAAACAAGGCTATCAACTGCCAACACGATTTTTACTCTGTGGATATTATGTAGACAATATTGTTTTGAGACGAACAACACTTTCACCGTTTTAGGGAAGACCCCTGATTAAGCGACGGGCTGTCATGTTGCTGTGTTTTTGGATAGATTTGATTGAACGGAAAGAATAGACACACTCCCTCAAAAGCGAAAGTATTAGAAGCTAATCCAGCAATGGCCAGAGAGGAATTTCTCGGGCCATTGCTTCGGGAATATGGAGGAAACAGGGTCTTTTAGACTCGGAGTACCCAAAGGGAGTCCATGAGGTTAGACAGACAACCTTACTCCTTGTCGCGTTCAAGCTTGGAATCAAAGCAACGACACTCGACTCTAGTCTTTAGTTGCAGGAGGAAACCGGGCCCTTTAAATTCGGAGTACACAGAGGGAGTCCATGAGGTTAGACAACCATACCCCTTGTCGCGTTCAAGCTTGGAATCGAACCCACGAAACTCGATTAAATGATATATCCTATGTTCAGAATACCCTGTCCCGTGGACTACTTCAAGTAATATCAGTCGCGTGTGGCACCAGAATTTATAAATATTGTTCTCCGGTAGAACCCCTGCACCTGCCTAGTTCCGTGTGACGTAATACCTGTCCAATCTATAAAACACATATAAAGATTACTTTAGTCATACACCTGAAGAAAGACAACAGGTAAGAATTCTTATATTAGTAAAATGAAATGAAAGAGAGTTTAAAATCTTACTTTTGTGCACCAAGCGAGGATGGGGGGGGGGGGTAACTTCATCTCGACACAAACTAGGTAATTTCGGAATGGTTCAATTTTATTTCAATAATTCACAGGTGCGCAGCGTCTTTAGTTGTGTATTACACTTTTGGGTCTTTATGATGTCAACATTGGTTTAACTTCATATGATACTTTTATTACTCTTCAAACATATCATGTACAAAACTTCTTATAGTTAAAGACTCTGTAATTAGCTTGTGTTAAGGGAGCCGTGGTCCTAGGGTGCCAACTCCTAACTAACTTACATGGCCGTTCTGCGGTCTATCAATTAGATCTCTACTTATAGTTGCTTCAAGTGAACCGAGGCCCAACACCTAAAATTACTATTTCAAAACATACTGTGGCCGGATGTTGCAGCTGGTTATTCCATAATACCAGATTAAGCTTTCAGTACAGAAAAAGGACATTACGTAACCGGGCCAGCTGTAATAACTAATGACTTGCATTGGTTGTACCAAGGCGTACCAGTGTCGATCCCCTGGTGTCATTATATGTTAAGGGGGTGTTGGGGAATTTTTGACTGTGGCGGTATAAAAACCCTGGATCGATGGTTCGATAACTTTATTTTGAAGGACTGTAACTACATATTGATAATCGAGACTATCCCGGTAAAAATATATAAACCAAAACTAAACTTTAACCGTAAAAGAAAATGATAAGGGAAGTAATTCGTAGTCTCTGATATCAGGCCTCACAAACTAGTAAATGTCCGTCAGGGGTATTAATCAAGTTCATGTGCCAAGGGTGTTAATGGCCATTTTCTTAAATAATCTCCAATTGTGTAACATGTGGGAGGAAACCGGGGGACCCAGAGAAAACCCATGAGGTTGGACAGGCGACCCTACTCCTTGTCACGTACAAGTGGGCAACCGAAACCAGACCCATTGTCTCAATTACAGACCTTAGGATCTAACGCTCTTGCGTTAAACCATGTAACAGGGTTTAATTTCGTCTGTACAATACTCCAATTTTTGTGAGACTATGATGAATTACTTCAATTGAACACAATTTTTATGCCAAACAATCACTAGTTGTATTCTAAAAGCACGACGTTTCGATAAGTAGCCCCTGATCATTATTAAGCACAATAACAAATTTTATTAAACTTGAGTTGAATATATAAGAATTGCATGATGAAGCCATTTACAGAGATTAAATAATGCCACTTAGAGATATTAGTTCAGTGGGTTACGCGCGCAGTGCTATTAAGTCTGTTTAAAACACAGATCCTATTTCGTTTCGTTTTTTATAGTTCAAAATTTCGTTTTACTTGTCATTACTACACTAGGATTGGAGGGCCTGACAAGGACAGCTGTCTAGTTATTCGGATGAGACGAAAAACCGAGGTCCCGTGTACACATTGGCGTGCACGTAAAAGATCCCTTGACAGTTGGAATTCGATGTAAGAGTAGGCCGCAGTGCCGCTGTCCGGGCAAAATTTCCCTCATAGCACACTGCTTGGCGAATGCCCGTCTTCATTAGCCCAGTTCGGAGCAAAACAGTAGGACGTTAAACCCCATTTCATTTCATTTCATTTATAAAAACCGCATTGAGATACATATATGTTCAAACATTTTTTTTCCAGATTCCACCATAGTAATGACTACTTTGATTGTATTTGTCGCCATCTTGGCTTGGTATGTTTAGCTGTTTTATATTTTAACTAGAGTCATCTAGAAATATTTAGATCACTTAAAGATACATTGTGGGAGATTAAATAAAGAGATGACAGTTCTCACTATAATAGTTAAAAACAAGATATTGTAAAGGGAATTTGCTGAAAATTTCAGTTAAATTCATTCACTCTGAACCGAAAATTTAGCGATTGATTTTTGTGCCTAGCCTAGATCATCATTACTAAAGTTGGTACGATAAAATACATAGTCCCGTTTATCCATTTCTTGATTTAATCATGAATGAGCGTAGAGCAGCAGATCGGATCCTTATCCAGTAACTATCGCAGGCTAGCGATGACATCGAGACTTGATTAAGGTCTGGATAAGTTAATTAACGTAAAATTAATAATTTAGGTAACATTTCAGGCCTAAAGAAAGACCTGCAATAGGCAGATTTAGCTCTTGCATAATGTATGTTTAAAGGGGAAGACCAGCGATCTTCAACAAGGTTTCCATAAATCTCAAATATATATTGATAAATACACCCTCCACCCCACCCCAACCCCGTCTGTAACACAAGCAAAAAAGGTTTTTTAAGCGAGATTTTTTTTTTAAAAATGTGGAAGTGGTGTAGTTGGTTGAACATGCTCACTGGTCTCGTTAGTAAGCATACAGATTTGGCATAAGTTTGCTGCTGTATTTTGTTCACGTGCCGCCGTTTGGATGAGAATGTTTAATTATTTCTCCTCGGTGATTGATATATAAAAAAAATCGATACTCTATTTTTCAAATTTGAGATGTCCAAATAAGATTGTATGCAACATGGATGGACCGAGAAGGAACCTGAGAGTATTGTAGGCTTATGTTCTCACGTAGTTTACGGTCCTTTTCTTTGATTGGGGTCCCTTTTCTTTAGTTTGAGGTCCCTTTTCTTTAGTTTCGGGGCCCTTTTCTTTAGTTTGGGGACCCTAGTCTTTTGCTGGGGTCTCTATTCTTCAGATTGGTGTCTCTTCTCTTTAATTTAGTGGCCCTTTTCCTTTGTTGGGGGGGGGGGGTAGTCTTGAATTTGCGTCATTTTTTATAAATTGATAAGATCGTCACGCGCTAAATTGGTGAATATACGCTCGCAACATTATGATATACTCAAGAAAGAAACATTTACACACAGTTAGATTTCCAATTCAGTGTTAGTGTCTTAAATTCCCCATTAGAGCACCTACAAATAAAATGCGGCAACCTTTGTCGACTGCACGGACGACGTAGTTGTTGTAACGATGTTTTTGTAAAATAGAGTAAATCCCTTCAACTGTATGGTTATTCTGGGTAATGTAAAATACCTGTATAGACTGATGATGTATGGTTGTTGCATGATATTTCTTATTTCAACAGTGCATGGTCAGCACCATGTGTACACAATAACCACGCCGATTTAACAGAAGAACATGTTATTAATATGGTTCTAACGATTGCTGATGGGAATAGTGATGGTGTTCTCAGTGGATTAGATCTGGCTAAATTCTTTTATGACTATGATACTAACGGTAAGTTTTAACATTCCTTGTGCGATAACAATATTTAAAGCGAAAACACAATTGTTACACAAAACATCTGTGGGCGCGGAAGTTAAAAACCAACTAGCAATGCAGGGTGCTGTTATGTCAATCTTTGACCAGGAAGCGGTTGGCGGTAACGTCCCATCGACAATAACCAGCTCATTTCGAATCCCGCGATCGAATGCGTAGCTTGCACAGATAACCTACTTTATAGATTGTATGGTGTGTTATATAATATGCACTACGGCGAAAACACCTCTTATCTTTCCTCCTGAACAAACTAACAACGTCTAAAATCCATTTTAGGGAATAATAAAGTAGAAAAGGCGGAATTTGGAAATGGATGGGTTTCAACTTTCCACGATGAGAGAGCGTTTGCAGAACACGTGTTTGATTTTCTGGATACAGACGACGATGATGCACTAGATGCCAATGACGTTACTGCTCTGATTGAAAGAGTAGACACATCAGGTAAAGTAACATTGCACACTGAAAAATCTCGAGAACCTTTCTTTGCTATCAGGAACTTATGGCTAGTGATCCAGTGCCTTACTCTCTGGACCTCTGAAGTAAACAGAGCTTACACTCAGTTTGCATACAGAGAGGCCCCTATTTCACATTGACACCATTGCTGTTTGATACCATGAACCTTAATAGCACTTACTGAATCCCAGGCCCATAAATCCAGTTACTCAAGATCTTAGGGGCCACCGGCCAAGGTGTATAATATTTTTGGCACTACCCTAAACCTTGCTTACACGCACTGTAGTCTTAAACATCCTCGACCAGGGACCAGTTGCTCAAAACTAAGTTATTTTAACGATCTGTTAAACTCTAACGAATCATAAGTTTGCTAATGTGTCGTTTGATAACGGTCCGTTAAATGTCTGTTGCTAGAAAGTCAGTTTCATTATTCGTTAGCTTACGGACTGATTAAAGTTAATCCAAAAATAAACTGTTAGGTCAATGGCTCAATTTTACATTTTTAAATTCAATGTACATGTATACCAACTTCATAGAAGATAGTATTAACAAGAAACTTAAGACAGTGGGACAACTGTGCAGACTGTTCACAAAACTTGATTAAAGACAAAAACATAACTCTAGAATTTACTACAGAAAACACTTTAAAAAAAACTATAGAATACTTTAATGTTTCCTTTAGTAATTTTAGCATAAATCTGTAGGAAGAATTATGGGATTTGCACTACAGACACTGTAGATTATTTGGGCCCATTATTTCCTAAAGGCCACCAAACTTCTGTAGAATTCTATAGAATTTTGTCAAATAAAAATTAGAATAGCCCCCCCCCCCCCCAATATAGCCCAACCCTCTAGAATGTTGTATAGAAAATTACATTGGTAATCTATGCCTTTGACTGGCAGCCCAGTAATGCCATCGTTAAACCGATAACGGAGTCCAACACCTCCGTTAAATATAACGATCCGTGAACTCCATGTTAACGAGTCGTTAAAAGTTAACTGAGCTTTGAGCGCCGGCCCCTGGTGTTTAATTAATATACACTTTAATCTTCTTCTAAGGTGGGAGGTTGGGACGCGTCTCATAAGTGTAAAATACCAGGGACTCTCTAATTCTGGCACTGATTGGGCCACTCTCTTTACTGAACCGTAACTAATGTTTTTTATAATTTATAATGTATAAACAGGCGATGGGTTGATTCAAGTATCAGAAATGAAAACATTTTTAGAAGCTGTAAGTATTGATTCGTCTCTTGTGTATAATATTGGTTAGTGACGATACAGTCTCCATTATGTGTATTATATTGGTTAGTGACGTGACAGACTCCATCTTGTGTATTATATTGGTTAGTGACGTGACAAGCTCCATCTTTTATGTATTATAATGGCAACGCCATCTTGTGTGGTGTGTTATAATGGTTAGTGACGAGGCAACATCATCTTGTGTATTATAATGATTAGCGACGAGGCAACGCCATCTTGTGTATTATAATGGTTAGTGACGAGACAGACCCCATCTTGTGTATTATAATGGTTATCGACGAGGCAACGGCATCTTGTGTATTATAATGGTTAACGACGAGGCAACGCCATCTTGTGTGGTGTGTTATAATGGTTAGCGACGAGGCAACGCCATCTTGTGTGGTGTGTTATAATGGTTAGCGACGAGGCAACACCATCTTGTGTGTTATATTGATTTGTGTCTTTTCTGTTAGTGGTGAGACAAGTTGCATCTTGTGTGGTTTGTAACGCATCTTCAATAGAAGGCTTGATCTCGCTTTAACTACGTACATCTTATCAAGGCCTTCACGTAATACCCTGCATATTTCGGCACTAATTTCGATTCGGTACAAGCCCAGCTTGTGAGTCAATCAGATTCCTCGATCGTCGCGAATACCAAGTCCCGGGCTTTCAAGCTAAAATGTCTACCTGTGATAATCGAGTTGCAAAGTTAAAGGTTCATTCAATGTCAAGATTTCCGTGGAGGTCGCGATGTCACAATCTCTGATTGGACGCTTCTTCTTACGTGTCTGTAGATAACATAGCTATAAGTTCGGGAATTGTGAAGTAAACAAGCAACGGCCAGATGTTGTAAAACTCGCAGTCGTTGCTTCAGAAACATGTTGTAACGAGGCAGGCTCTATCGTATGTGGTATGTCCGCTAACTGATGCTTAACGTACTGGATAAACTCAAATTCTCGGCCAAAATCTGGTTCTTAGCGAACTCCTCACGTTTAAGACGAATGCCAGCGGATTGGGAGCGAATGTTGGGCGTATAAATATCGTCGATATGGCAGTGCCTGTGTAGCGTGCTTCCGACGAATGCTGCGTGTACACAACGATTGTTATTGTCCTAATATTGAAAGCAAATTAACTGCGTTTTACTTTTAGATGAACACATAACGACGTTATTATTCACACAGAACATAAATCCCCTATGGTGTATTATTACATTATTTATCAGACAAGCTCCATCTTGTGTGGTATATTCATATTAGTTGCCTACTATAATATTGATCAGTGATGAATGATAAGGTCAGCTCAATTTTTTGTAATAGATCAGGAGATTGAAACAAGACTAGCGCTAATCCCAACCCTAACCCTTACCCTGGACCTAGCCCCAATGCTTACCCTAAACCTAACTTACAACCTTACCAACAATCACGTACCCTAATCCCAACCCTAACCCTAATTATGAACCCTGGACCTAGCCCCAATGCTTACCTTAGCCCTAACCTACAATCTCGACAACAATCGCGTGCAATAACCTTATTTACATCTCAGCTACCTTGACAAAAATTGAGCTGACCTTTACGCATAGATTTAGTTCTACTGTAATATTGATCGGTGATGAAACAAGCGCCGTCTGCTGTTTTTATTTTGGTTTTATTAGTGACGCTTCAAGTTCCGAGATTACATTTGATAAAGGCGCGGTTTCTGCTCCTCCATTGAAAAGATCGAATATCGATCTTGTATAAATGATATTGATTTCAATTTCAGATTTTCAATGCTTGTTAATAAGATTACAGGAAACAGCCAATAAACCACAAATAAACAGAAAAATCAACAAACCCGAAGAAATAAACATATTTGGGTTTTCATAAAGCTGTTTTGTCATGAATAAAAGAAAATACGAAAATACGTATGAATTGGTCCACCATTAGGACACTCGCGTTTGAGCAGACGATAGGTTGTAGAATGTTGTTGAATCCAAAAATTTTAGTTGAAAATAGAGTTGGGTTGTGTCAGGTTTGGTGGTGGGTAAACAAAGAAGAATTACAGCGTAAAGAAGAAGGCGAGAACTCCAAAATAGCCCTAGAACAGAGTTTGGGATAGAGTTTCATATTTCAGTTTAATGAGGATGGACAGTAAAGTCGGAGGATTGTGTCCGTCTAGAGATCGTTCTGTAGAACTTGATCTTATATCCTTCACCATCTTCAATAGGAGGCTTGATCTCGCTTTAACTTCGCACATCTTATCAAGCCCTTCACGCAATTCCCTGAACATTTCGTCAATAATTTCGATTGGCTACTGGCCCAGCCGAGGGCTTCTAAGATTCCTCGATAGAAAATGCAATCGCCAATACAACGTATCGCGGTTTCCAGCTAAAATGTCTACCTGTGATAATCGAGTTGCAAAGTTCAAGGCTCGTTCTATGTCAAGGCATCCGTGGAGGTAGCCATGTTTGATTTGAGTGCGTTGTGTCACGACCTATTGTTAGGGTGACCCACCATAAATAAATATCTCCATATATCTCGAGAATTACGCCACAATATTTATATATATGCCAAGCCTCAAATCAGTTTCACACAATTATAGTCACTAAATAAACGATCATGTTGTACTTAATAAGCTATGACCATTAATCATGTATAAATAATAGACTGAAAACTGGTTCCAAGAGTCGTCCATAACATCCAGACACTTTTGAGTAAAAGATAGGTTACGTGCCCTTGTTTTGAAATTAGTCTCGCTTAACCAGTCTATCGACCATTCTACGTCTGATTGACAGGTCGGGATAATCAAGACTACTTTTTTACGAAACATAACAGAAAGCTAGAACAAGAAATTGAATTTAGAAATAAGCACGTTAGGTAGCTCAACAATCGTTTTAAGAAGCTTGTAAAAGTAAAATAAAACTACTGCTAGTATCATGTTCCTGCCTAACCCGAGTGATTCAGAGATACAATTTGTACTAAACCAAAAGATGCCGCTCTTAACGGTACAGTTAATGATAAAGCGATTTAAAAAATGAAACGAACGTAATTTCTAAATCTGCTGTAATAACCAAGAAGCTTAATTTTACTGCTATTCAAAATCGTCAACAATAATTTTTTTTACGGCTGTAATAGTTGATAGATTTGTAGAGAATTGCACGTGCCATGGCTATTTATAGTATCATACTGTCAGAAAGTTGATCTCGGCACGGCGAATGTGCACGCTTCAGTGGTAGTCTCGAACTATCAGCGGTGGACTGTATTTCTGTGTGTACATGGGTCACCCTACTATTGTTCGCCTGTCTGCGATAAAGGGAGATAACGTGCCTATAAGTTCGGGGATTTCAGACTAAAATAATCTGGTCTGCCCTCTGTTTGCCCCCCCCCCCCCCAATAATTTTAGAAAATAAAAAAAAGTATTTGCGATACGTTTCGGTAATCAATACCTCTTACGGTGAATAAATCCCACATCCCCACTCAGTCATAAACTTACATATTGTAGAGCATTTCCGGCAGTCTATTTTTCAAAATTTTCTTGGCGAGGTCCCCAGTGGACTCGCTACTTTGGCGCTCACAAGGGGAATTCGTTGAGGTTCGTAAGTCCGTTCGTTTGACATTTTGTTCTCTAGTCGGATAAACTAGTGATCAGGCGACGAACGGTATCTGGGCAGATCTATTTATCTCGACGATCGGTGCAGGCAGTCTATTTTTCAAAATTTTCTGGGGGAGGACTCCCTACTTTGACGCTCGTGAGTGGGCTTCGTCGTGATTCACAAGTCCGTTCGTTTGACACTTTACCTCATCGATCAGTGCCTGAAATACTGCCAGGCTGCATTTCCGGTAACCTGTTTTTCAAAATTTTCTGGGGGAGGCTCCTACCCCTACCCCTGGCGCCGCCACTGCGTGTGGTTGGGTTGGATATTGCAGAAAAACCTATAATGAATAATGGGCGGATTTAGTAGTCCCCCACTGTCAAGGGTCGGTGTAGAATAAAAAAAAACATAAGTCATTTAAAAATAATATAAGCTCGTTCAAAAAAAACATTTAAAAATAGTACATGTATAAGCCTGTTCAGATGTCAAATCTGAAATCAAGTAGACAAGGGAGCCACTATGGCTAAGTGGGTAAGACGCTGGCTCGCTAGTGTTCGATCCCTGCATTGGCCGAGAAAGTTCATCGCGTTTTCCAGCGTGGTTTCCCCTTGTCAGTGGTGCAAGACGGAGGGCTTGACAAGACAGCTGTCTAGTCGTTCGGATGGTACGAAAAACCGCGGTGGAATTCGATAGGCCATAGTGCCGCTGCCCGGGCAAAATTTCCCTCATAGCACACTGTGTGGCATATGCCCGTCTTCATTAGCCTAGACGAAGCAGGACTGTAGGACGTTAAACCCCATTTCATTTCATTAAGCATGTAAAGTAATTTCTTGATAGGGCCAATTCTATTTGACTCTTAATGAAATGAAATGAAAAGGAGTTTAACGTCCTACTGTTCTGCTCCTAACCTGGGCTAATGAAGACGGTATTTGACTCTTAAAGCGTCCTCGCTAATGATATAAAACTATATAGAGTGTTACTAGGTTTCCATTTGAAAAGTCCAGGGGAAGAACGAACTAAGTCACATTTTTGTCTTTTCGCATAAAAGGCAATACAGACTCTTGGAGGAGAATGCTTGACGCGAACAGAACAATGAGTGGGTTTAATTACAACTTCAAAATGATGCTTAATACGAATCATAAATACCAGTAGAACAACTGACTTCCACTTTTCAGCCAAATTAAGGTCAAATAAAGGGTACGATGGACGTATTTGTCCGAGAGGCCATTTAAGAAGGGCCTTGGTTCGATGTGACTCCGATCGTTGTTACCTGAAAGCTTATACAATTTGCTACCAGATGGCGCCATTAACTGAAGTTCGTTGAAAAAGTGACTTAGGTCATTCTTCCCCTGGGCTCTTCATTTGATAATCATGTAGTACATACACAAATAAAACTGGAGAGTAGCGCCATCTTCAGTGGCGCCATCATCGGCATTATCAGCCTTGTGTAACACCAATATTAACCCTGATTATTTATCCATTTTGACAATCTGATTAAGATACAGATCTATATTTCGTTTCGTTTTTTTATAAATTCGATGGCCTACGCTTCATGAAGATCTGACAAGTTATAGCGATAGGTCACGTCAGGGGTCAAAAGACCGACTTATGACCTTATGACGTCATACATTTGATTAACCAATCAGCATTGATGTTACTAGTAGATTACCCACAGTTCCGTGCAAAACACGCCTAAAGCTAGCCGTAACTGACCGTTTCATTGGCTTATCCCTGACACCATTCAGAACACGAGTTAAATAACAACTCTTCCAGATCCAGGTGTAGTAAAGACAAGTAAAACGAAATTTTGAACTATAAAAACGAAACGAAATAGGATCTGTGTTTTAACCAGATTGTCCATTTTGACCTCGTGGGGTTTCTCGGCTTCCTCCGTTTCCCCCCAACTGCTAAAGACCCCTACGCACAAGCGCTCTCTCTCTCTCTCTCTCTCTTTCTCTCTCTCTTATCCATATTGGTCTCGCCTGTCCAACCTCGTGGGTTTTCTCCGGGTCCTCCGGTTCCCTCCCACTGCTAAAGACCCCTACGCACAAGCGAATTATTGAAATAAAAATTGAACCATAGCTCTCTCTCTCTCTCTCTCTCTCTCTTTCTCTCTCTCTTATCCATATTGGTCTCGCCTCTCCAACCTCGTGGGTTTTCTCCGGGTCCTCCGGTTCCCTCCCACTGCTGAAAACCCCTACGCGCAAGCGAATTATTGAAATAAAATTAAACCATATGTTAGTCCAGAAATGACCTAGTTTGTGTCGAGTGGACGTTAAACCCCATTTCTCTCTCTTATCCATATTGGTCTAGTGTACATAGCCTTTAACTGCACACTGCGCATATCTTGATCATGCACCTGTCTGGTTCTGTGTGACGTAATCCTTGTACAATCTATAAGACCATCATACAGATTACAGGTTGTCAGACGTCAGGAGAAAGGCAACACGACAGGTAAGAAAGTCTATATTATCAATAAAATGGAATGAAATGAGGTTTATCCGCTAAATTTTCTGCACCAACCGGGGGTTTTCGTAGTAAATTGAATTGAAATAGGTTTTAATCGGGCTACTGAAGACGGGCTAAATTTATTTGTTAAAGCCAGCTGATATAATAAATAAGGTTAGGGCACGTGATTGTTGGCGAGATTGAAGGTTAGGTTTAAGAATTTGGGGGAGAGGTTAAGACTCCACATAAGCACTGACCTAGGATGATGAAAAATTAGTTCGTGATATTTCCTAGTTTTATTAAAAATACATACAATACATTAGATTTATATACAAAGGCGATTTCACTGTTTTTTGGTGTTGGTCGCGCTGATGGTCTTCCTTGGGTGGTGCTTCTAGTATTCTGGTATTTTTGTTTTTGAAGAAAAAAGAAAATAAATTTGAGGCTCTCGGGGGAGAGCCGCATTAGTGTGTTTCCTACTACGAATTGGATTTTCTAAAAAAAAAATCGTGTTTGTTCCACGTCACCGGGTTAGGGCGAGGGATTCTTATATCTAGTTAGGTTAGGTTTAAGAATTTGGGGGAGAGGTTAAGTCTCCAGATAAGCACTGACCTAGCGTGATGAAATATTAGTTCGTGATATTGACCAAACTTGAAGTTTGTCTTATCCAATAGATCGGATATACGGCAAGCATGGATTATACTAAAGGGGAATTTATTCTCGAACAACGATGCTGCGGTCTGTTAAAACGTACAAAGGGCTTGGTACAGAAAGCTGAGATATTCGTATACCAATTTGGTTTTCATATGACTTTTTTCTTTGGCAGTGGCTATTGTTACGACGAGTCGTAAAAATAGTCCTCAGGCTATTGTTACGACGATGCTTTCACAGCCCTCCATCGGCGAAGTTAAAAACTGAATAGTCGTAAAAATAGTCCTAACCCTAACCTTAACCCTCCCCATCTCTTAATTGCTGCCTTTAGTTCTGAAAACATTTGAAAATACTGCTCCTTTTTCAAAGCTGGTGTTGGGCAGATTGGCGGCCATTTTGGAATTCGTTCTAAACTTGGCTCACACTCCTCGTAACAATAGCCACTTTGTTTTTCTTTTCCTGTTTCTAGATGGTATAATCATACCCATTGACATTTATTTGGGGGGGGGGGGCAGTGCGCGTTGTATTATAAGGTCTGTGTGATTGACGTGGTTTCGATTCCCCGGTTTTACGTGATAAGGAGTAGGGGCGCCTGTCCTGTCGGACTTAGTTTTCGTCGATTGGACGTTAACATCTCATTTCTCTCTCACTCTCCGAAACCATAAATCTTTTCCAGAAAATATATGGGACATGTTTAACCTTTTTTTTCAGATTCCACCATAACAATAATGACTACTTTGATTGTATTTGTCGCCATCTTGGCTTGGTATGTTTTTGTTATATAAGAATCTTTCAGGAAATCGGTGGCTCGTGCACTGTGCAGTGTTTCCCAGTCGGTGGGAGGGGTCCGTATAAAAGATTCCACCATAATAATAATGACTACTTTGATTGTATTTGTCGCCATCTTGGCTTGGTATGTTTTTGTTATATAATAATCTTTCTGGAAATCGGTGTCTCGTGCACTGTGCAGTGTTTCCCAGTCGATGGGAAAAGACTGGAAACTACTGTGCTGGGAGATTTACCCGTTCTAAACTCGACATAATATATGTAATAATATTTCTGATTGTCGTTTGTTTCTTTGTCTGTCTGTCTATCTGTTCGAGGTTGGTGACTGCACTTGAGCTGTTCCGAGGCTGAAATATGGCGTATAGGTGTAGCTCGAACCAGGGAGTAACATAGGCCTGGTGGCGATGATCTACCACTTCCGGCTTCGGAGTTATGCTACTTCCGGTTCAAGGCTATAGCCGTGCTACGCCGGGTCAACCATTAGGCTTTATTTTTCGACACGGAAATAGAATCGGAAATGAAATGAAATGAAATGGGGTTTAACGTCCTACTGTTCTGCTCCTAAACTGGGCTTATGAAGACGGGCATACGCCATACAGTGTGCTATGAGGGAAATTTTGCCCGGGCAGCGGCGATACGACCTACTCATATATCGAATTCCAACTGCCAAGGGATCTTTTACGTGCACGCCAATGTGTACACGGGACCTCGGGTTTTCGTCCCATCCGAAGGACTAGACAGCTGTCCTTTTCAGGACCTTCGTTCTGCACCACTTACAAGGGGAAACCACGTCGGAGATCGGAGACGGTCTAGTACATATTACGTCATAATGTGGAGTGTAGGTTATGGTTAAGGTAAGGGTTAGGGCTGCAGATTTTGTCAATGTCTCGAGATGTAAACAGAGCTAGCGCTAACCGTAACCGTAACCCTAACCCTAGCCCTAGCTGCCCTAAACCCTAACCTACAATCCACATATGAGATGAATATTAAGCATAATAAGAGAGTTTCTATAAAATCTTGTTGGTTTGCTATGTGAACCTTCCAGCTTGCCTTTCTTTTAACAGTGCCTGGGCAGCACCATGTGTACACAATAACCATGCTGATTTAGAAGAAGAACATGTTATTAATATGGTCATTGAGGCTGCTGATTTTAATGATGATGGTGTTCTCAGTGAATTAGATCTTGCTCATTTCCTTGGTCGCTATGATGCTAACAGTAAGTTTTTGCAGCACATACTGTTTTTTTCTTCTTCTTCTTCTTCGTCTTTTTCAAGAGAGAGAGAGCGAGAGAGAGAGAAAGCGGGAGATGGAGAGAGAGAGAGGGGGGGACTGGGCCGTGGTTGGGTTTTGGTTTCAGAGAGAGAAAGAGGACCCGGACGTGGTTTCAGAGAGACCACACGATAAACACTAGGTCATTTCGGAACTAACCTATATGGGTCAATTTTATTTCCATAATTTCGTTTGGGTGTAAGGGCCATTAGTAGTGGGAGGAAACCGGAGGACCCGGAGAAAACCCACGAAGTTAGACTACTCCGTGTCATGTAGAAGCAGGCAGACTTTGGGATATAAAGCTCCAGTGTTGAACCATTGGGCCAGTCCCTGTCTTTGATAGCAACACAAAAAGTTGTTGTGTGAGACTGTTAGAGGATATCTGACAATTCATAAAAAGAATTGACTGCCACTAGATAAGAGAACACGAAAGACAAACAGAAAAAGTCCGTGCATTACCATGTTTTATAAGGTATAGAATGAATATAAACAAGCGAATGTACGGACTATTTCTATTTTTCTCGTGTTCTCTTATCTAATGACATTCAATTACTTTATTGAATTGTCAGGTATCCTCTTACAGTCCCATATAACAACTTTTGGTCTTCGAAGGAAGAAATTCGGCCGTGTATCTGTTATCACTCGTCACATCAGTCAGTTATATAGAGGGATGACTCGTGTTTTCCTTTGGCGTTCGTCACTTCCGATTCAGGAAACCTGTATTACTCAGCTACCGTAGCAATGATCTCTGTGTTAAAATTAAATTTGGAATGTGTTTAACCAGCTCTATCACATATGTGATAATGACTGGCACCAATATTGTCCTTTAACAACGGCTAATGTGAATTGGGATCTTTTTTTATTCTAGATAATAATAAGGTAGAAAAGGTAGAATTTGCCAATGGATGGGTTGCGAATTACCATGATGAGAGAGCTTTTGCAGAACACGTGTTTGATTTCCTAAATACTTATGATGATGATGGTGCTCTAGATATTGCTGACGTTCCTGCGCTAATAGTGAGAGCAGATACATCAGGTATGTGTAGAGACAATGCCACCTTCTATATATATATGAGAGAGAGAGAGAGAAATGGGGTTTAACGTCCACTCGACACAAACTAGATCATTTCGGGACTAACACATGGTTCAATTTTATTTCAATAATTCACTTGCGCGTAGGGGTCTTTAGCAGTGGGAGGAAACCGGTATATATATATGATCTAAGGCTCGACCATATGACTCCCTGATGTTCTTCCATTTTATCTGGTTTCGATTATCCAGTTGTACATGACAAGGAGTAGGGTCGCCTCTCCAACATCGGGACTTTTCTCCTGACCCTCCGGTTTTATTCCACTGCTAAAGACCCCTAGGGGTAGGCGTGTCATTGAAAAAAATGAACCATATGTTAGTCCCGAAATGACCTAGTGTGTGTCAAGTGAACTTTTACCCTCCCCCAATCCTCTCTCTCTCTCTCTCTCTCTCTCTCTTTCATCTGTTTCTGACTGACCGAAAATATAAAAGTATACCCCAACTCGGTTCTTGGCACCATTCTCTGTAATGGGGCTTTAACGTCCACTCGGCACAAACGAGATCATATCTGGACTAACATTTATTTTCAATAATTCGCTTGTGGGGAGGGGTCTTTATCAGAGGATGACAAACAGAAGAGAGATATGAGATTGAACGTGCAATCGACCTAAACTTTGCCATTTTGGGAATAACATTATATTTCAATAATTCGTAGGGGTCTTTAGCAAGCTTGAGTTCGAAACTACCCTACTTGATTCAATGATAGACCTAACTGAAGATTCCGACCATTCATTGCTCGATAAACGTTTTAAATAAGAATAAATCCCTGGCACATCAGTTCGTAGATTTCCAATGAAACTATTCCGTGTAACCATACGATAGGACGATTCCTAGTGTTGCTCGACTCTCTTCAGACATCAAATCCCTGGCACATCAATCCGTGGATTTCCAATGAAATCATTCCGTGTAACCATACGATAGGACGATTCCTAGTCTTGCTCGACTGTCTTCGGGCATCAAAACACTCTTTCAATGCGGGGGGGTGGGGGGGTGGTTAGCACGCAATATAAGGCCCGTCATTGAGTCAACTGGCGTGGTTTCGAATCCCCGGTTGTACGTGACAAGGTGTAGGGTTGCCTGTCCAACCTCGTGGGTTTTCTCCGGGTCCTCCGGTTTCCTCCCATTGCTAAGATCACTACACACAATCGAATTATTGAAATAAAATTAAAAAACATGTTAGTCCCGAAATGACCTAGTCTGTGTCGAGTGGACTTTAAACCCATCTCTCTCTCTCTCTCTCTCTCTCTCTCTTCGTTTTAAATATAGACTAAACCACCAATGTAATATTTCTGTACGCAGTGAAACTTGTAATTGATAAGAATTTTTATATATATATATTTACATCTTTTGAGACTTTTTACATTATTTAACAGTTTTATTTTGATATGGATTTATGTCTCTCTCTATGGAACAAGTTAAGATGAACAACTTAAATAATTTATTGGATCGTGACTAATGTTTTCGCAATATTTGATATATAACAGGCGTTGTGCATCTAATGTTTTTACGATATTTGATGTATAACATGCGTTGTGCATCTAATGTTTTTACAATATTTTATGTATATCAGGCGTTGTGCAACTAATGTTTTTACGATATTTGATGTACAACAGGCGTTTTTACAATATTATTTATATAACGCATTGTGCAACTATTTTCTTTTACGATATTTAATATATAACAGGCGTTATGCAACTAATGTTTTTACCATATTTTTAAAATATATCCAAGAGAGCAAGACATAAAGTAATATATTGATACTGCACGAGGATGTCAGTCCGAGTGTTGTTTTAATAACGCATTGTCTTGCTCCAGACAAACATTAAACAACTTGAAATATAGACACTTTCCCGGAAATGCATTTCAATGAAATCGTCACGCCATCCCAATGTTTCATCTAGTATAAATAATGTACGATTCGCACGGTTCCCATACCAATATTTGAAATAATGCCAAGCCAACATTAAAGGGTGGCATCACACTGTATTTGAATGTTTTTATAATATATAACAGGTGATAGTATAGTTCAAGTATCAGAAATGAGAACATATTTGGAAGCTGTAAGTATTGATTTATCTCCTGTATGGTATATTGTTTATACCCCCCCCCCCCGGGTGGCGACCTTGCGCCCTCGTCAGACCAGGTTGGCGTCCTTACTGTGCTGCGGCGACCGTACGGCGACCAGAAAATGCACAAGGTCGCCGGAAAACGTGAACACAAGGCGAGAAAATGTCCCAAAAAATTAAAAACTTGAAAAAAGTCGTGTTCTCATAGCTTATTCGTCACTTCCGGTTTCTTAAGACTGGACTGCGAGCAACCAAACCCCACTGGCGTGTTGGATGGCTGAATGGTTAGCACGTTACGCTGTATCATAAAGTCTGTCATTGAGTCAACTGGCGTGGTTTCGAGTCCCCGGTTGTACGTGACAAGGAGTAAGGTCGCCTGTCCAACTTCGTGGGTTTCCTCTGGGTCCTCCGGTTTCCTCCCACTGCTAAAGACCTCTACGCGCAAGCGAATTATGGAAATAAAATTGAACCATATGTTAGTCCCGAAATGACCTAGTTTGTGTCGAGAAGACGTTAAACCCCATTTCTTTCTTTCTTAATGTGGTTAGATTGTTTTCTGCGGGACAGTCTCCATCGTAGCTGTTATATCGGTTAGACAATCTCTATCAGATGTTTTATTTTGGTCTTCCCTAGGACACGCTAGGCGACAGTTTACGGCGAATCATTTGGGACTGCGGGCTAAAACATACATTATGCAAGAGCTAAATCTGCCTATTGCAGGTCTTTTCTTAGGCCATGGATGTTATCTAAATTATTAATTAGACATTAATTAACCGATCCAGGCCATAATCAACTCTCGATGCTATCGTTAGCATGTGATTTTTAGTGGATTGGAATACATTTTATTATGGATAATTGAAAGCTAAACCGTTAATATATCGGTTCAGAGTGAAGCAATTTGACTGAAATAAATTTTCAGCATTTTCTGTTTTCATTATCTATTTTTTTTTTACTATTATAGCGAGAACTGTCACCTCTTTATCTAATCTTACCTAATGCCCCTTTAAGCCGACGCCCCGTCGAAGAGTATTGGGAGCCCTAGAATTCGCCAGCCAATCAAAACCATGGCGACCTCCAACTAAATAACGTTGCCAAAATGCTTCGGCGCATGTGTGAATTAAGTTTAAGGCCACTTATTCAACGAGAAATCGACGCAGGCATTCGCCGTTTGTGTCGATTAAAATTCGCATAGTGTGTCCAAGGCTTTAATGACGCGACAGGCTCTGAGAATAGAACTGATAAAGGCACGGTCAATTTAAAGATGGGGGACTGATCCTGTATAATTGGGATAATAATATATCGATTTTATTTTTCAGATTTACAACGCTTGTTAATAAGATTACACGAAATAGCCAATAAACCACAAATAAACAGTATAAAAAACACAAATTGTTTGGATTTTCATTAAGTTGTTTTGACAAGATGTTGTTCAAGCATCAATTTATTCAACCGAAATGAAATGAAATGAAATGGGGTTTAACATCCTACTGTTCTGCTCCGACAGGGCTAATGAAGACGGGAATTTATTCAACCGGAACCGGAAACAAGAGTGACCAACTACAACATCGCCGGATTAACCATGGTAGGGATCCTGGGGCATTGAGCATGTGGGGGTCCCCATGGTTACACAAGTGACCAGAACTTCATACCGTACTCCTCGCAATGTTTCGTTTGATTAGAGCTGAGCTCACTCAAGCACTGCTATACTCAGCGCAAATTTCGGTCCCAAATTATGACTGGTCAATAGCCTGATTAACAACCAATACCTAATTGCGTAACAATATCATTCGGGTTTAAACAGAGCTCCAAATTTTGTTTACATAACGTTACGTCATGACTCACGAAATTTATTACGCCCAATTAACCAGTGCACAGCAGAATATTGCAGAAAAACTAATTGCGCGACAAACGAGGCTATCAAACCGGCTACAGTGTAAACATTACTGTTTGGAGACGAACAATACTTTCACCAATTTTAATACCTTAAATCACTGTCCAAAGATTTAGGAAAGAACCCAGATAAAACGAAGGGCTGTCATGTTGCTGTACTTGAGATAGATTTGATTGAACTCAAGTATCAGAAGTCAGTCCAGCAATGGCCAGAGAGGGATTTCTCGGGCCATTGCTTCAGGAATATGCAGTATTATTCCACATCAGTCTGTGATAAATAACGGGGAGATCTTAAGAGTGGGGCGACTCTGCCACAACCAAAAAGATCGCAGGGGGTCCACAGTTCATTAAAGTACCACACTAACAGAAATTATAGGGAAAAGAGAGAAATGGGGTTTAACGTCCGCTCGACACAAACTAGGTCATTTCTGACTAACATATTGTTCAATTTTATTTCAATACTTCGCTTGCATGTAGGGGTCTTTAGCAGTGGGAGGAAACCGGAGGACCCGGAGAATACCCACGAGGATGGGCAGGCGACCCTACTCCTTGTCACGTACAACTGGGGAACCGAAACAACGCCAGTTGATTCAATGACAGACCTTATGATACAACACCCCTGATAAGAGAATAAGCTCACTGGAAAGAGCATATCATATTGATTGATAGTACAAATTTTCAGGAAGTGCGTCAAATGAAGCCAAATATGAAGTCATCTTTCGTCACAATTTCTTCTATGCGATGATCCCCGCTGGTAGGAAAATCACTACCGGCAGAGGGCACGCCTAATCAAACACCTAGGTTACGGCTGAGCTAGGATATATGATAAAAACAAAGCAATCTGATTAAAACACAGATCCTATTTCGTTTCGTTTTTATAGTTCAAAATTTCGTTTTACTTGTCTTACTACACTAGGATCTGGAGGAGTTGTTATATAACAGGCGTTCTACTTGATGTGAGGAATTAGCCAATGAAACGGTCTGTTACGGCGAGTTCTTGGTCTTTTTATGCACGGAAATGTGGTTAAACCACTAGAAACGTCAACGCTTATTGATTAATCAATGTCTGACGTCATAGCGTCAAAAGCCGCTAGTTTGACCCCTGACGTGAACTCCCACTATAACTTGTCAGATCTTTATGTAGTGTAAGCCATCGAAAGTATAAAAAAACCGAAACGAAATATAGATCTGTATTTTAATCAGCTTGACAACAAACCGCTCCCAACGCTCGCATAACATTAACAATCCCCGCAAAAATCCCCATCCTTGCCTGGCCCAAATTTAAATGCATTTTGTTGGAATTAAAACGCGAAATGTCGTAAGTAATGTACTCTATACAGAATCTACACACATTATATACACACCAAATTATCAAATAATTATAGTTTAGGGTCACGGGCGTCTGTAACGTGGAAAATATTTCAAAAATAACATCAAGCTATTACTAAGTATATGTCTAAAGTCTGTTACGTCCATGTCCGTAAGCGAGATTATCAAATAACTGGTCTGAATCCGATTTCTAACTCAGGGGCAAATAACTCGTCTGAAACCGATTCTCTTTTAGTAGATATAATAATACCAAGGTGAGAAACGGGTTGGAATTAAATAATTGGGATCCAGTTCACTACTCTAGATTCCATCAACCAGTGACAATACTCATTAATTTTCGCAAGGTTGACAATCGAGTCTACGATGACGTTTTAAAATTATCCACGTGACCCTTTTTAAAGTACGTTCGGAGATTTCCCACTGACATTTAATATAAATGGGATCAAAGTTACCTTGATTAAGATTTCATCTCCTAGTAGCACAACAAGTTCTGGGATGTCAACCGCAACACGAGCCCACAATGATTCCATCTCCTAGTAACACAGGGGGGTTGGATGGCCGATTAGTTCGCGCTGCATTATAAGGTCTGTCATTGAGTCAACTAGCGTGGTTTCGATTCCCCGGTTGTACGTGACAAAGAGTAGGGTCGCCCGTCCATTCTTGTGGGTTTTCCCAGGGTCCTCCAGAGACCCCTACGCGCAAGCAAATTATTGAAATAAAATTGAACCATATGTTAGTCCCGGTTTGCGTTGAGTGCACCTTAAACCCCATTTCTCTCTCCATCTCTCTCTCTCCCTAGTAGCACAACAGGTTGTGATCAAAATATAAACGCTAAAGAGAATTTTGATACGTTTTCTTGATACATTTTCCCGCTAAATAAACAAAACAGAGAGACACAGACACCAGTCGAAAGTACGACGCGGCAACAACAGAATACACCAAATTCTCGGATGTCAACCGCAACACATGCCCACCAAGGATAGAGGGGGTCCCAAAGTCCAGGACTTTCAAAATCCGATGGAGGGTCCCCCCACTGGCACTGGCAGAAGGAGTCCAGTCCGGCAACATTCGCGTCGCTTTTTGCGCAACGTAGATTTTTGGGCGGGGCAGGGGGTCTGGGCCCCACCGTGCCCCGTTTTTAACTACAATTAGGTTCAGGTTGTTTCGAAAATCGCGTACAAAATTTCTACTATGCTAGTTTAATTCGACTTTTCCGTACTTTCGTGTATAAGTCGACCGACTTCAGATCTCGCCAAAAACATTGCTTAAGAAGACCCCCCAACCCTTCCTTCCTCCCTTAACACCCCCTTTACCCCTCCCCCTCCAGCGAGAGATGAGTTAATTCGACCTCCCACTAATTTAAGAACGCGAAATACACTTCTATCCGGGATAAGAACGACAAAACGGGGGAGGGTGGAATCATGGGTGAAATAACCAAAATGAGGATTTAATTCGACTTTTGTACACAACGACCAACCTCACATGTCATCAAAAACACTGCTTAAGAAGACCCACGACCCTTTCTTCCCCCTTAAGAAGACCATCTTTATCCCCATCCTTCCAATGGGAGGTTGCTGTTGTTTTTATTCTCCAATGGGAAATTCATTCCTGTCCCGAAATGAAATAGTTTGTGTCGAGTGGACGTTAAACCCCATCTCTCTCTCTCCCTCTCTCTCTCTCTCTCTCTTATCGTAAGATGGAGTTGGGCTTTTCCAACGTGATTCTGCAGCCCATGTTGTATATTTCCCCCCAAGGCCCGTCTTGAGAATAAAGTCATATTTTATATTTAATCACTGCTCGATAAATACGAGACAAGCCTATTTAAAACGTCACTCAGTAATAGATAATAATTGTACTCAATAGACTCCAAAAATACTAGCACATATTAGTCATTGTTAGATTTATTTTTTTTTTTAATTGGTTAATATATTTGACGTTTAACGTTCCTTCAAATAGGCATGGAAATATGGGCCCTTGGACCGAAGGTTATCGGTCTGGAAATTCGCCTTGGTGTACCGATTGTCTTAGTAACTTTCCTCGGCAGTTTTCTGGGCTGAAAGGAAAAGAATGGACTAATTTAGAGATTAAACTATAAATGCAATATCATAACCTTCTTCTAGTGTCTTTCCTATATCATATAATAACTGTTCCAATGACATTCAGTTATTGAACGGGAATTACACAGGTCACAATTCGGCCAGTAATTGTATTCCATACAGATGAAATATGGACTAAGACTATTAGTTCCCCTTATTTGATAATGAACGAATGTTGGGCGATTTATAGATAGACAATTTTTCCATTAATTTTTTTTCTCCCCTCTTCCTGCATTTTTTGGTTGACTTTTTGGTCTAGAATTGGAGAAAGGGGATCAAATTTGCAATTTCATAGCAATTTTTGGGTATACTGATGAGGAATAGGGGGTGTAAAATGTCTTTGCAGTGCAATCATTGTGTGGGAAGTGAGATTTTGACCCCAGTCAACATCAAATCCCCGTAGCAAAAAATCTAAAGGGTCAACCCTCTATAAAATTATGAGGAGGAGATTGCCAAATGCGGTCCCCTGTGTATAAAAGATTGGAACCAACGGAATGTTGAGTAAAAAGCTACAGCCTGTGATGTTACAGCCATTTAACATTGAAGTCAGTGGACAAATAATTGCTCGCCTGAGTCTATATAATAACTTACCCGTTTGGTAGCACCAGCTCTTGGCATGGTTTTATTTTTTTTCATAACCTGCCTCGGCATTTTTCTGGACTGAAAGGAACAGAATGGATTAATTTAGAGATTAAAATAATAAAACAGCAAAGACAGTGACTCGTGAAAACTTATTTCTGTGACTGTCCTATCAGATGACATAATATTATAACAACGTTCTTCTCGTGACTATCCTATTAATGTACGTTCGATTACTGGCGCCGCGATTATTCGAGCCTCCATGAGTGCGTTCCGAGTGCGTTCGGGTTACCAATGACCGCGTCATTTAATGAAATGAAATGAAATGAGGTTTAACGTCCTACTGTTCTGCTCCTAATCTAGGCTAATGAAGACGGGCATACGACATACAGTGTGCTACGGCCTACTCTTACATCGAATTCCAACTGCCAAGGGATCTTTTACGTGCACGCCAATGTGTACCCGGGACCTCGGTTTTTCGTCCCATCCGAACAACTAGACAGCTGTTCTTGTCAGGCCCTCCATCCTGCATCACTGACAAGTGGAAACCACGCCGTAAAAATCTGAATGAACTTTCTCGGCCAATGCAGTGATCGAACACCCGACCATCAGGCTAGCGAGCCAGCGTCTTACCCACTTAGCCACGTGATCCCCCCGGCGTCATTTAAACGGCTTAGTCGCGCCAGGCCGAAGTAACCTGCCCCAAGGAGCCGGTTACTTCGGGAAGTATCCCATAATCCAATTATTCAACATGGCAGCAAATTAATTGACAATTGTAATTGACAATTTGCTCCGATTAAAAATACAGTATTTCCATTCCACAGTAGTGTTGTGTATATTTTACACTCGTTAACAAAGTCATCCAACGTTACGTTGGTTAAACGAAAGTGTGATTTAAAGTCTTCTAAGGATTGAAGAGGGACTGTATCTTCTGTATAAAATTCTATCCTTGGAGCTTTATTTCGCTTCTCCGGATTTAATACTTCCAGTAAGATGTCGATGAAAAAGTCGGTATCAATTAAAGTTTGTTGGTGGATTATTGTCCGCTCGTCGTTATTTATGAGAACACCGAGCGGAGTTTTTCTTCCATTTTGGGGGATCACGTGGCTAAGTGGGTAAGACGCTGGCTCGCTAACCTGGAGGTCGGGTGTCCAATCACTGCATTGGCCGAGAAAGTTCATTCAGATTTTTACGGCGTGGTTTCCCCTTGTCACTGATGCAGGACGGAGGGCTTGACAAGGACAGCTGTCCAGTCCTTCGGATAAGACGAAAAACCGAGGTCCCGTGTATATATTGGAATGCACGTAAAAGATCCCTTGGCAGTTGGAATTCGATATAAGAGTAGGCGATAGTGCCGCAGCCCGGGCAAAATTTCCCTCATAGCACACTGTATGGCGTTTGCCCGTCTTCATTAGCCCAGCAAAGGAGCAGAACAGTAGGACGTTAAACCCCATTTCATTTCTTCCATGTTGATACCTAAAGAAAGCGCCACGCCGTTCGATTACCTAGTCCTATTGCGCATGTCGAAACGTACTCTAGTAATCCCGAAGCAAGTAATTGAACGCGATATAAATGACATATATCAACTTACCCGTTTGGCAACACCAGCCGTTGGCTTAGTTTTAGTTTTTTTCGTAGATTTGGCTTGGTTTACTCGTTTCGGCATTTTCCTGGACTGAAATAAAATACTGGATTAAAGACGTGAAACCATTTAATAACTGTCTTCTATAAGACCCCGATGCTTCACACCAAATTTGATATAAACCAGCGGCTGCCAGTCAGGATACACCCACATTTTTCAAGAGATGGATAGAGATCAAGCCAAACAAAAATCAATGTTTCGTAACATCAAGGGTCATAATTCAGGAAGATACGAACAGATATGTGCGAATATCGACAGGAACCAAGATCTTTCGGTTCTAAACATGCATTTCAACGTACAATTAGGGGCCATAATTCAGGCAGTTACGATCCGATATGCATAAATATTGACAGCAGCCAAGATTTTTGGGTTATAAACATGCATTGCAAGTTTCATCAAAATCGAATGAAAATTGTGACCTCTGGAGGGTCCACAACCTTGATATACAACATATTTACACCATTTGCGTTTAAAAGAGGGGCGGCCATTTTGTCCGTCAGATTTAGTCCGATTTTCACGACATTCGAACTCAACCATCATTACGGTGTAACGGTGATATATTCACACGTTTTTCTTTAAATCGGATAATAATTGTGACCTCTAGAGGGACCACAAGCTAAAAACGCGACTTTGCTGTACAGTCAAGGGCCATAATTCAGGAAGTTAAGATCCGATATGCGCAAATATCGCAAGGAACCAAGATCTGTGGGTTATAAACATGTATTTCAAGTTTCATCAAAATCGGATCAAAATTCCGAGCTCTAGAGGGTCCACAATCTTGATATACCATATTTTTTACACTATTTGCGTTCGAGGGGCGGCCATTTTGTCCGGCAGTTTGGTTCGATTTTCACGAAATTCGAACTCAACCGTCATTAAGGTGTAACGGTGATATATTCAAACGGTTTTTTAAATCGGAATAAAATTCTGACCCCCATAGGGTCCACAAGCTAAAAACACGTGATTTTTCATATAATGAGGGGCCATAATTCAGGAGCTAAATCGCTAATATTTTGGACCTAGAAATTGACCCAAATGGGTCGTAACGCATAGAATAATGTAATAGGAATATATATAAACTGATTTACATTCAATCGTTTCCATTTTTTACTCTAATTTACAATCAGTTACGTTCGGCGAAATATGTCAGAAGTCTCAATCGAATGAACATTTCTAGCGTCTGGTTATTCTAGTCTAGATTGTATTTATTGCGAATACTCTCCCGATATGAATATGCCGTCACCGTTTGACATGACTTTTTGAATGGCTAGCATCGTTCTTCGAGTCCCTTGTTAGAATGGGCCTGAAACGCATTATGGTACACGATTCGTGTACCAATGGTAAAATGTTTATTTTGTCTTAAATATTGGATATCAGAAGCCCAGCTTTTCCCGGTAAGATCACAACATCATTGTTGATTTAAATTGACAAATAATTCGTGTTTTTAATGTCGAAGATTTTGGATGATATTGAGTTAGAGACTTAGCTACTTTAAATCTGATGAAAATCTGTCAAAACCCGCAACCTTTTTCGTCCACTCAGCACACATATATCAAATTTTGATCGTTCGAACAATGGTGTCTTGTTTGGTGAAGCCTGGGCGAAATACAAAATACCTACACTATCTCGGACAAAATACCTACACTATCTCGGACAAAATACCTAAACCATCTCGAACAAAATACAAAATACCTACACTATCTCGAACACTATACCTAAACCATCTCGGACAAAATACAAAATATCGACACTATCTCGGACAAAATTCTTCACATACTTTCATGGAGGCTATACTGAATGATATATAATCCCGATGCCGAATAAATTCATCATCGAAACAGATTTGGATTATAAAAACAAACTTATTCCTAAATATCCAAACAATTTCTGGTATCATTATTTTTGGATGACAAATACTATGTTTCTCCTTGGCCGTTAACGGTCATAAAACTATGTTAATAATTACAAAACTTACATTTAGTAATTTCTCACGTTCCTCTTCTGTCTTTAAATTTCAAATGAATTGGCGCCGCCGCGCGATCGTTTTATATAGTGGGGCGTGATCAGGTGATACGTTTCAAAGAAAAATACTGGTCTAATAAAAATAAGTTTTTCTGGGAAACAAATAAAACAACTTATTCAAGCAAACGTGACCCACTTAATGCTTTTAAAAGGTGTGGGAAAACCAAGATTAACCAGGTCTATATGAATGATACAGGTATGGTTTTAAAAATCGGGTTTGCCCTTTTGAATATGAGAGGGGAAGGGGGGATGGCCGAATGGTTAGCACGTGCGCGCTGCGCTGTATCATACGGTCTGTCATTGAATTAACTGGCGGGGTGTCGATTCCCCGGTTGTACGTGACAAGGAGTAGGGTCGCCTGTCCAACCTCGTGGGTTTTCTCCGGGTCCTCCGGTTTCCTCCCACTGCTAAAGACACCTACGCGCAAGCGAATTATTGAAATAAAATTGAACCATGTGTTAGTCCCGAAATGACCTAGTTTATGTCGTGTGGGCGTTAAACCCCCTCTCTCTCTCTCTTTTGTATATGACAAACCAAATGGGCCAAATTTGATCATCGTAACTGCATCATCATTCATTCTCAATTGTATCGTCAAAACCAACATTATTATAACACTTGAATCCACAAATTTTCAAGAACGAACACAAGAGCCGCATGCTAATATGTATCTTGTTGCCTAATGTTTTTCATACGTTTGTATTGATTATTTTTATTTTTTTATTTTTATTATTTTTTTATTTAATGTTTAAACGCTGATTTTATTTTGGAATAAATATATGTTTAATTTTATCGACCATTTACATTTTTGATCCCTGTGAGTGGTTGTATAGGTTGGGGCCCCAGTGCTTTGCGTTTTTCCCGGAGGAGGGGGGGGGGGTCTATAATGCTGTTACGGCTGTCCTGTATAGGATTCATTCTTAGGACTAGCCCGAAAGAACCTCTGACCTGCAGAACATTAATAAGGTTCCGATAGTGTTCGAAAAATCACGCCGCGGCGTGTTCATCCCTGCATTGGCCGGGAAAGTTCATCGGGATTTTCCGACGTGGTTTCCCCTTGCCAGTGGTGCAGGACGGAGGCCTGATAAGCACAGCTGTCTAGTCGTTCGGATGGGACGAAAAAGCGAGGTCCCGTGTATACATTGGCATGCACGTAAAAGATCCCTTGGCAGTTGGAATTCGATATAAGAGTAGGCGATAGTGCCGCTGCCCGGGCAAAATTTCCCTCATAGCACACTGTATGGCGTTTGCCCGTCTTCATTAGCCCAGCAAAGGAGCAGAACAGTAGGACGTTAAACCCCATTTCATTTCATTTCATTTCTTCCATGTTGATACCTAAAGAAAGCGCCACGCCGTTCGATTACCTAGTCCTATTGCGCATGTCGAAACGTACTCTAGTAATCCCGAAGCAAGTAATTGAACGCGATATTAATGACATATATCAACTTACCCGTTTGGCAACACCAGCCGTTGGCTTAGTTTTAGTTTTTTTCGTAGATTTGGCTTGGTTTACTCGTTTCGGCATTTTCCTGGACTGAAATAAAATACTGGATTAAAGACGTGAAACCATTTAATAACTGTCTTCTATAAGACCCCGATGCTTCACACCAAATTTGATATAAACCAGCGGCTGCCAGTCAGGATACACCCACATTTTTCAAGAGATGGATAGAGATCAAGCCAAACAAAAAGCAATTTTTCGTAACATCAAGGGTCATAATTCAGGAAGATACGAACAGATATGTGCGAATATCGACAGGAACCAAGATCTTTCGGTTCTAAACATGAATTTCAACGTACAATTAGGGGCCATAATTCAGGCAGTTACGATCCGATATGCATAAATATTGACAGCAGCCAAGATCTTTGGGTTATAAACATGCATTGCAAGTTTCATCAAAATCGAGTGAAAATTGTGACCTCTGGAGGGTCCACAACCTTGATATACCACATATTTACACCATTTGCGTTTAAAAGAGGGGCGGCCATTTTATCCGTCAGATTTAGTCCGATTTTCACGACATTCGAACTCAACCATCATTACGGTGTAACGGTGATATATTCACACGTTTTTCTTTAAATCGGATAATAATTGTGACCTCTAGAGGGACCACAAGCTAAAAACGCGACTTTGCTGTACAGTCAAGGGCCATAATTCAGGAAGTTAAGATCCGATATGCGCAAATATCGAAAGGAACCAAGATCTTTGGGTTATAAACATGTATTTCAAGTTTCATCAAAATCGGATCAAAATTCCGAGCTCTAGAGGGTCCACAATCTTGATATACCATATTTTTTACACTATTTGCGTTCGAGGGGCGGCCATTTTGTCCGGCAGTTTGGTTCGATTTTCACGAAATTCGAACTCAACCGTCATTAAGGTGTAACGGTGATATATTCAAACGGTTTTTTAAATCGCAATAAAATTGTGACCCCCATAGGGTCCACAAGCTAAAAACACGTGATTTTTCATACAATGAGGGGCCATAATTCAGGAGCTAAATCGCTAATATTTTGGACCTAGAAATTGACCCAAATGGGTCGGAACGCATAGAATAATGTAATAGGAATATATATAAACTGATTTACATGCAATCGTTTCCATTTTGTACTCTAATTTAAAATCAGTTACGTTCGGCGAAATATGTCAGAAGTCTCAATCGAATGAACATTTCTAGCGTCTGGTTATTCTAGTCTACATTGTATTTATTGCGCATACTCTCCCGATATGAATATGCCGTCACCGTTTGACATGACTTTTTGAATGGCTAGCATCGTTCTTCGAGTCCCTTGTTAGAATGGGCCTGAAACGCACTATGGTACACGATTCGTGTACCAATTGTAAAATGTTTATTTTGTCTTAAATAATGGATATCAGAAGTCCCTCTTTTCCCGGTAAGATCACAACATCAATGTTGTTTTAAATTGACAAATAATTCGTGTTTTCAATGTCGAAGATTTTGGATGATATTGAGTTAGAGACTTAGCTACTTTAAATCTGATGAAAATCTGTCAAAACCCGCAACCTTTTTCGTCCACCCAGCACACATATATCAAATTTTGATCGTTCGAACAATGGTGTCTTGTTTGGTGAAGCCTGGGCGAAATACAAAATACCTACATTATCTCGGACAAAATACCTAAACCATCTCGGACAAAATACAAAATACCTACATTATCTCGAACACTATACCTAAACCATCTCGGACAAAATACAAAATATCGACACTATCTCGGACGAAATACCTAAAATATCTCGGACAAAATACCTAAACCATCTCGAACAAAATACAAAATACCTACACTATCTCGAACACTATACCTAAACCATCTCGGACAAAATACAAAATATCGACACTATCTCGGACAAAATTCTTCACATACTTTCATGGAGGCTATACTGAATGATATATAATCCCGATGCCGAATAAATTCTTCATCGAAACAGATTTGGATTATAAAAACAAACTTATTCCAAAATATCCAAACAATTTCTGGTATCATATTATTTTTGGATGACAAATACTATGTTTCTCCTTGGCCGTTAACGGTCATAAAACTATGTTAATAATTACAAAACTTACATTTAGTAATTTCTCACGTTCCTCTTCTGTCTTTAAATTTCAAATGAATTGGCGCCGCCGCGCGATCGTTTTATATAGTGGGGCGTGATCAGGTGATACGTTTCAAAGAAAAATACTGGTCTAATAAAAATAAGTTTTTCTGGGAAACAAACGTGACCCACTTAATGCTTTTAAAAGGTGTGGGAAAACCAAGATTAACCAGGTTTATATGAATGATACAGGTATGGTTTTAAAAATCGGGTTTGCCCTTTTGTATATGAGAGGGGGAGGGGGGTGGGTGGCCGAATGGTTAGCACGTGCGCGTTGCGCTGTATCATACGGTCTGTCATTGAGTCAACTGGTGGGGTTTCGATTTCCCGGTTGTACGTGACAAGGAGTAGGGTCGCCTGTCCAACCTCGTGGGTTTTCTCCGGGTCCTCCGGTTTCCCCCCACTGCTAAAGAACCCTACGCGCAAGCGAATTATTGAAATAAAATTGAACAATGTGTTAGTCCCGAAATGATCTAGTTTGTGTCGAGTGGACGTTAAGGACCTCATGCTATTATGTATCTTGTTGCCTAATGTTTTTCATACGTTTGTATTGATTATTTTTATTTTTTTATTTTTTTATTTAATGTTTAAACGCTGATTTTATTTTGGAATAAATATATGTTTAATTTTATCGACCATTCACATTTTTGATTCCTGTGAGTGGTTGTATAGGTAGGGGCCCCAGTGCTTTGCGTTTTTCCCGGGGGGGGGGGGTCTATAATGCTGTTACGGCTGTCCTGTATAGGATTCATTCTTAGAACCTCTGACCTGCATAACATTTGTAAGTTCGAAAAATCACGCCGCGCCGTGTTCATCCCTGCATTGGCCGGGAAAGTTCATCGGGATTTTCCGACGTGGTTTCCCCTTGCCAGTGGTGCAGGACGGAGGGCCTGATAAGCACAGCTGGCTAGTCGTTCGGATGGGACGAAAAGCGAGGTCCCGTGTATACATTGACATGCACGTAAAAGATCCCTTGGTAGTTGGAATTCGGTGTAAGAGTAGGTAATTGTGCCGCTGCCGAGACAAAAGTTCCCTCATAAAACAGTAAATTTGGAAAATATTTCGAATACGTTGACCTGCTATATGTAAAGGTTTTTACTAGACTTCTGTGCGTTATGTCTAAAATTAGAAAGGTGTTTTCCTAGTTTATTTTAAGCTTTTGGGTTTGCCAGATACTATTTTTTTGAATGAATGTTTTATTTTGTCTGTTGGATTTCCACTATACTACGTGACAAGGAGTAGGGTCGCCTGTCCAAACTCGTGGGTTTTCTCCGGGTCCTCCAATTTCCTCCCTCTGCTAAATATTCCTACGTGCAAGCGAATTATTGAAATAAAATTGAACCATATGTTAGTTCCGAAATGACCTAGTTTGTGTCGAGTAGACGTTAAACCCCATCTCTCTCACAAGTCAAACAAGAGCTCATAAGTAATTGTTTTTACCCTTTAGCCCTTTGAATCAGCCCCGCTTATAA